AGAAAGGTTGGCTCTCAAGGAAGAGGACACCTTGCTTCCTGTTCCACATCACTTGGGCAAATCAGAGACTTTACAAATGGCTCTATAAGGAAATAAATCTGGACTTAGATACTGGCTCTGCCACTTATCTGGGGCAACCACTCTACTCCTCTGAGCCTCATTCTCTTCATCTGTAAAATGGAGGTGAGACTATATGCCTCCCATGGCAGTCACGGGATTAAACGAGACAGCCCCTAGCACCCTAAAGAAACACTCCATCTTCAACCATCTGTAGGTTAGCAACACTCATTTGATCTTGAGGGGTGTCCTTCTACTGATCTGGAGTTTCAACATGGTCGCAGGGATGAGCCAGGAACTGCTCAATACCCCATGACATAGGCGAGGACCCAAGGTGCTTTCTGCGGCTAATAAGGAAAACGAGCCGGGAAAAAGGGCAGCGAATCCCACTCAGGGAAGAGGCAGGAAAGGAGCAGCCTGTCGCTGCTTTCTTAAATGAGCAGACCACAGTGCTACCTGCCCAGGCCTTCTTCACTCCTCATCACCATAAGGAATGTGCAATAAGTTTCAAACCACGAGTGACAGTCGGTGAATAGGGAGCCGCGAAGAGTGATGAACGCGTAATGCACCCAAAGTTAAATACAACTGTTCCTCTCCCAGGCCATTCAAACCCCGAGCAGCTGCATTTTCATCCGCATCATCTATTCATCTTCCTTCGCAATTTGCTATTCAGGAAGCATCATTTTTTTCCCCCCAGGATAATTAATTACCTATTTCCTTCCATTAAAATGCACAAACAAATTGGGACAGGGAGTAAATCCTGGGAAACGGCACCGTGGCCAATGTAGCGCCTGCCTTGACTTTCTTCTTCCGTGTTCAACTTTGCAACTCTGAGCTAATTGCAGCTCCCCAAATCGCATTTCTGCTGAGAAGAGCTAAGCCTGCTCTCTAAAACGTGCACCCATCAGGCAGCCAATTTCCCGTCCCCACCTGGCTCTGCCCGCCTGGCAGTGGGGGCTGGGCTGGCTCTGCCTCCCTTGTGTGCACGTGCACACGATGTGCACGCACATTCAGGCACGGGCCCGAGGACACACATCCAGAGGCTTGTCATTTGGGCCTGGACACGGGCCATCGTGGCGCTCAAGAGAGGCTTCCCACACCCCACATTAAGTGCTCTACACTTACAATTCTTCCATTTGAACTCCTCTCCCGCTACCCCCTCTCGCCTCCCACTCTCGGGTCGCTTCTCGGCCATCCTCCCGCCTCTGGGAATCTCATATGTTGATCACCTCGGTGATTTGGGGCTGAGCACTTTGATGCTGTGGTTGGTCTTGAACAGCCAGGGGCTGGAGAGGCTGGTTAGTGGGGCTGGGGAGGCGCACTCCGCGCCGCTGCTGTGTTCAGCCTATCGGCACCTCCCGTGGTCGGCCTTCAGGCAGAGTCTCAAGAAGTCAGCTGGCCGCACACTTGTAGAGGTGGACTGTCAAGACAGGGGGTGACACGACGGGATTCGGGAGTGCTCTCACAGCCGGGCCTCTTCTTGGAGGCAAGACAGAAACCGCCCCCCAGCACAGATAACACCAACGATCACCATTATCATCGCAAGAATCACTGATGGCGGATTAATACTAAACTGAGCCTCATAGTGGCTGAAAGGGACTATAGAAAATGTTATTTTAAGAGCGGTCTGGCGTCAGGCGCAGGTCAAGTTGCCGTCCGACTTCTGGCCAGGTCACCATCTCGGTGTCCCGGTGAGTTCGGTGCCCCTCATATAGGGGTTTCATGGTTTCCGGCTGATGGCTCGAGCCTGACCGCAAGTGCTTTGATTCTGTGTTCCCCTCTCTCTGCCCCCTCCTCCGCTCATGCTTCTCTGCTCTGTCCCAAAAAATAAATAAACGTTGAAAAAAAAAATTAAAAAAAAAAAAGAGTTCTTGGCTCCAACCTAATTTCAGGAAACAGGGGTTTTTATGCCACTTCACACTCCTCGTGACACAACATAAACTCCTTGAACCTTGTCCACTTCAGGTGTGATGGGGGGGTGATCGTTGCTTTTTTGTGAGGTTTGACTGGGGTGCTGTGTATTAAGTGCTTGGCACAGCGCCTTAACATACCTGATGTGGCACACACACTTATTCTCTCTTCTGTGAAAGTCACACTACATTCTTATGCACAGTCTTTCTTCCTCACGTGTGGCCCTCATCACAACAGGTAAGGACTCATTTCCCCATTTCAGATACAAACGAAGCTCCACGAGGTATATATCACGACTCTCGAAGCTTCCTAAGATTAGTGCCCCAAGCTGGGGTTCTGATATTCCAACTCTGTGGGCGGCTGGACTGTAGAGCCTGAGAAGAGAGAGGCATCCCGCCCATACTCTGGGACCTGGCTGGTCTGGGAGAGAGGTCAGCCCGGCTTCAAGGAAGACCGGGGCACCTGCAAAGTACAGGCAGAACTGACGAGGAGAGAAAGTCCACCCAGTCTTGTTCCTGGTCCCCAGAGAGGACAACCTGGCTGCGTAACAGGTCACTTTGGGAATCTGCAGACCTTCTGCCTTTGCTTTTGTCTCTTACTGATTTAGAAGCCCTGGACCGGCCAGTCAGCAGAAATGTGTTTTGGGAGCCTGGGGCTCAGCTGTTGCCTGCTGATGTTTTGAATTCAGAATCTTGAGTAGAATGCTCAGAGACTCATTTTCAACCCTCCTGGTCAAGCAGACATAAGCTTTCAGGACTGGGGCTTGAGTGCCTGTGTTGGAGGTCAGGTTCAGGCCCCAGGGGAGGGGCATTTTTTACTCCTCTAGTCCTCATCTCCCTCTGCGATCCCAGCTGTGGGGAATACATTCAAACATCCTCATGCCTGCGGCTTCTTACGGTAAAGTGCGGGGAACGGGACTCTTCAAGTGAACCACGACGTGGTGAGCATTTATTAACGTGCACAAATGGTCCACATCTAACACCTCATTTGGTCTTCATGATGACCCCAGAAGGAGGGCATCCCTTCCTGCCTTTCCCAGATGAGGAAATTGGGATCAAGACAGGGACAGTAAATAGTCTGAGTTCATCCCTCACTAAGTGAAAATGCCAGGAGTTTGAATCCCACTTTCTTGGATTCTAGAACCCAAGTCTGTATACACCATGGCCTTCTCCACCCAACATGGTGCACAGCTTCCAGAAACACTGGGCTCTAGGAGGGATGAACGTGGAGATGGCAGTGCCCGCACACTCCCAAGTTGTTGAGTGCCACCAGGGGGGGTTCTGATGAGAGAGCTTGGATGTGGCTGTTTTCTTCTAAGCTCCAGGTGCAAAGCCAACCTCTGGGAACTAAGCCCGGATCCTCAGCAGGGAGAATGTCTATCTCTCAGCAGTGAGGAAATTTGGCCTGGGTATTGAGAAGTAGAACAGAAATCTCCCTGGTTCCATTTCTTTCTCCCAGCCAAAGTGGTATCGATTTCCATGACAGCCTGTGGGTGGGGGCCTCTGGTGGCCCTGGTTCCCTCTCTGCACCCATGGGCGACCGTCAGGCTGACGGAGAAGCTGGGGCAGCCCTAGCTACTTGAAGTGTAGTGAGACGTGGCTCATGGTAAGGGAGAGGGGTCTCGGGGGGAGAAGGCTTCATGCCCTACGGTGGTCTGAACCACTGGAAGGACAGTGGTCTGTCTGGTCAAGCACGTGCACTCTGAGATTGGACAGCCTCGCTTTGGATCCTGGCTCTAACTTTCTGATTCAGCCTATTTTTTTTTTTCTTTCCTTTTTCCGTTTTACGGAGGTATAACTGACAAAGAGAAATCGTAAGATATTTAAAGTTATTATACCATACCGTAATGATTGGAAACACATATACATAGTGAAAGGGATCCTCCCACCTAGCTAATTAGCATACCCATCACCCTACACATACATAGAGAGCAATTACAAATATGTATTTAGCTTTTACTCTCTTAGCAAATTGCAATTATACAAAGCATTGCTCTCAACTACAGACACCGTGGTTTCCACTAGGTTCCTCAGACTTTGATCACCTTAGAGCTGAAAGTCTGCACCCTTTTACCAACCTCTTTATTTCCTCCCCGCCCCCGGCAACCCCCTTCCTACCCTCTGCGTGAATTCGACTTTTTTTTTTTTTTTTAAGATTTCACTTATTTGTCTTAACAGTCCGGAATGCTTTGTGATCCTGCTCAGGGGCCGTGCTACTCTGCGCACCTGTCCGATTTCAGTATATGTGCTGCCGAGGCGAGCACTTTGGTCCATTTCTTAGCCTCTTTGGGTCTCAAGTTTCCTTATCTGTAAAATGAGATTCATACTAGTACAAACATCTCAGGGCTGTTACGATTAAGGGAAATAATCCCCCCCAATCGCGTAGTGGATGCCTCCCCACCGCAAGCGCTCACAATATCGGAGTCGCCTTTGTCACTCTTGAGAGCAGGGTGGCATGTTGATATTTGCCGTGTGGCGGGTACGGCTGGCTACCTGACACACGGGAGGAGCCGCCCATGAGTTTATAGGGCCATAAATAAGGGTGGTCCTCATGGAGTGTCCTTCTCAGGTCAGCCCAGCTCCGCCCTGAGCTTCCTGGCCCTGTCCCCCCTACCCACCTCGGGACCAGGGGAGCAGCCTTAGAAACCTTTGTGCAGCAAAGGACCAAGGACAGGGGAACCAGACCCGAATTGGAAACAGAATCTCTATTTCTCTGGAAACTGGCAGGACATTCCTGCTTGCTGCTCTCCTAGGTCAGGTTCTACAGACACTTCAAAGTCTCTGGGAGCCGAAGAGAAAAATGCGATGAGCCGGCAGCTGCCTGGCGTATGCTCTGGTTGTAATAAAACAGGGTTCCCAACAGGACTCCTTTGATGGCTCCAAATGTTGCTTTAGGATCCTCTGAAGAGTTCCGCTGACAGAGGGAGTGTATTATTCATGGCACCTCGGCTGGCTGGCTCTGATCCCTCCAGCCCCGGTCTTTCCCGGGGTCACGAAAAGATCAAAAAGCTCTGCCCGGAAGTAGCCGCTCACCTTTCAGGTCCTGCGGGTTGTCGATGATGAAATTGCCATTCCACACGACGGCGAAGTCCACAGCCAGGTTGCTGATGTCCATCCCGTCGTACTGGTACTGCGGGGAGAGGGGCAGAGGGCACATGGCTTGTGAGGTTCCCTATCACACGGGGTTGCTGGCATCTCGGGGGACCAGGACTATGGCAGGAAAGAAACCAGGGATTCTGGCTCCCTCTGGGCTGAGGAAGGAGCAAAGGGAGAATCAGGGGAACCCCTTCTGCCGCTCGAATTATCCCTATGGCGCCCTCCCCGACTCCCAGTCACTAATGCCAACAGGATCCAGCCCAAACCCCTTAGTTTGGTGTTCGGTGCCCCCTGTAATCCAAATCCAAGCTTACTTCTCTTCCACTGCCCTCCTGCAGAAATCCTTGATGCCTGTCTCCAAACACACATGCCCCGGCACCTCTCTGGCTCTTTTCAGTTCACATCTTGTGAAGAGTGCCTCTCTCTCCCTACAGCCTCCACCCTTCAACTTGCCTGTATTCTTCGGGTCCAGCCCACACTTGCCTTCCCCAGGTGCTTGCTCTGACATCCCTGCCGGCCCTTCCCCACCCTCTCTGTCCCCTGCCATTGCCAGTCCCTGTCTCTGTCTTCCCAAGAGCTTGTCTGCCTCTTCACATACAAGTCCGGTCTCTGCAGCAAGTTCACATACTGCTCTGCGAACCCCACCAGAGTCCTGAGGAAGCATGTGCACAACAGACAGGGGTGCAGCGGTGGAGGGGGGCTGGGCACCGCAGGATCTCCTGGCTGCACTTGAGCTTTATTTCGGCCAACAGCCCACCAGGGAAGGTGCTCAGAGCTTCTGGTCACAGATCTGATCAGCCCGACCATTAAAGGCTCAAGCTGTAGCCAGGAGT